CAAAGTCTGTTTGAAAAAAAAAATGCGTGGCAGAGAAAATAAAAAAACGAGCATAGTCGGTAAACAATAACATAATAAGATTCATGCACCATGAAAACAAAAAATATTCAAATATTTTGTCGAAAATGGGGTACAGACTGAATATAACATGTACGGAAACATTACTGCCGTCTGAAACTAACTTTTAATTTCATTCAATTAATTAGTGACATCGCATGGAAGTAAATATGACGTCATTGTTTTCTTGCTCATCATAATATTCCAGCCCTGCCTAAGTTTGGCATTGGTGTTACTATACTACTATACTGTCTATGGTTAAACAGGGCCCAAATTGATAGGGAGTAAAACACGGAAGTGGAAGAGCTGTCCATGCATTGACCAATCACACAAGAGCTCACAAACACCAACGAAATATTTGTTGTTGTACTTAACAAAGGGGTTTGGCACTAAAAACAATGGAACGTTTATAGGCTTAACGTTGGATTTAGATCGTGTTATAATCCAAATCCCCTACTAAGACTTGTAAGCACCAATTTTCATATGACAAATTGTGTTAATTTGAACAATCTAATTCAAGTACAATTGGTCCCCAAATATATTAATGTCAACGTCAGTGTCAGCTGTTACTCACCACATTGAATGTTCGATCAGTACGAAACAAATCATCTAATATTGAAGAATATATTTAGAGAACAAAATATTGATATACTGACACTATCGTAAACCTGATTGAAAGATGTGGGAAATGAACACATAATTGCAAAATGCACTTCATCTGGATACACTCTTAAACACACACCACGTACATATCCAGCTAGTGGAGGTGTAGCCATTATCCACAAATCATCTCTAAGTTTAATAGCCTGGAAACCATTATGGAACGTAATATTATTTGAAGCCACATAAGCTACACTTTCCCATCACAGAGTAACCTTCAAAGCTCATCATCATTTATCGTCCACCTCCAACCGTAAAGAATAAATTTACAGTCTTTCAGTTGTTCCATGAATTCCGTTGTGCACTTGAGAAATACGTTGCATATACAGGTCATCTCTACATTGCAGGATACTTGAATTTTCATGTGGATGACCCACATGATTCATCTGCTCAGAAATTTCAGAATATTATTGAAAATGTTAATCTTAAACAATGGGTAGAACATCCAACCCACACCAGAAGTCATACGCTGTATAATACTCTTGCCAATGCTAGTGAAGACATGAAGTCTGTCAATGTTGATCCCCTACAATTATTAGACTACTATCCAGTTCTCGCCAACTTGGCATTCCAAAAACCATAAGCGTCAATTATTAAATCGCCATATTGCATCCATATCAGTTGAAGATTTTACTGCAGATTTAGACACACTTCTATCTGGTCTTCACCGACGCGTATCTGATTTGCAGACTGGCATCTCATCATATAACTCAGTTTTATCTGTTCTGCTTGCTTGTTCTGACCAGCCATTAAATGGTACACTACCGAGATTAATGAGGCCAGGAAAATATTGGCAGAAACCAAAAAAATGCCAGAAACCAAATGGCGAAATACCAAACTCAAAGTTTACCACCAAATCTTCAGTGAAAAAATGTTAGAAATCATATCAACAAATCCAAGAGTTAAGTGCTTACTACAAAAATCTAGTGGGAGAAAATTCTGACGACCAACGAGCATTATTCAACAGTTATTCTACACTATTTAGTGCATCACATCAGAAAAAACATACCTGCCTCCAAGTCACCATACCTGGATCTTGCTGTTCAGTTATTACTTCATCGACAAAATCAAACGCATTCACACCGCATTGAATTCAACAATTATTGCAAACAGTAACCATAACATTATCATCAATACCAGTTATTCCTGTGTCACAATTCACACAACCAATGCTAAAGAGATTTGCAATATAATTGTCAAATCACCATCTAAACCATGCACCCTCGATCCAATTCCAACTTCTATCTTTTGAAGTAATGTATAAAGACACATGCACATCCTAATTCTGACTTGATCAATGCTTCACTTCAACAATACTTTACTAACCTAAGCTTATAGTATATTAATTTCCCAACTCATCCGCTATGTTATGGCATATACCATACATTTTTTAAGAAGACTTCATTCACTCCTTTCACGTTTATTTGATCTTAGATCTCCATTGTAACTTGTGTAATGTAGATCATATGTTTCTTAACTGTGATAGATGACAGGTATTACTGCGCTGGCTGTGTTCACTAAATTGGAAACACCTGACATGTATGATAAAAATCATTTGTATATGTTGTATGATGTATATTAATCGTTGTTTTATATTTGATTTTCTATTTGAATTTGTAAAATGCTCCTTCCACTGTAGACCTACTTGCCTATAGTTTTTTTACGGGTATTTCATTTTTCCCGAAGTCTTGGTTGTTCTAGTGTGTCATCGGCGGCATGTCCTTCGGAGAATAGATAACATGTATATTATACCATTATACCTTCAACAATAGTACGAGTAATACTCTTTTTTTCCTAACAGTTGCATAAACATGGATATACCAATCTAGATGCACTTGAACCTTCAAGAGAATCGTTGCATATTGCAAAGAACAAAGGGATCTACAAGAAACTATTTTGTGAATGTATTGGTACCTCCAAACTGGACATAGATGAAGGCACGATATAATTATATTCTATTCAATGCAGGAACGTATCAACTTATATATACTTACTTATATGTATTTCAATGATTTTGTTAACAGAATATCGCATTGTGTAATATTGATGGCCCATTCCTCTCTTTTCAATAATGAATGGTCCCAGGAATTTCTGGGGTAACCAAAGTAATCTGGTACCGAGACTCTATTGTATTTTGACCAATGTCCTAAAAAGCCGCCATAGTGGGGTTTACACGTGGGGA